GAGACCCCGACAGTGGCGAAAGCACTCGGGACTTGCCCGTCGTCGTCCTCGTCCGTCAGCAGGGTGACGGTGAGCAGCAGCCATACGCACGGCGACGCCCGGGCATGTTTTCCAATGGACTTCGAGAACGTTTGCCCCTCGCGTTGTCAAAAATCACGGCGGGATTTGTTTCGCTTATTTCGGCTTGCGGCGGCCCTTCCTGGGCCTCGCGGCACCGTCAGAAAACGACTCCAGACGACAAAGCGGCCCCCGGGGAACGGGTCCAGACCTCTGGGGGTCGAAGTTGCGACACAAATCACGACGTCGGGCGTCCGAGACGTATTCCTTCCCGAGTTCCGAGCCAGTCGGTCTCACCATCGCGGTCGAACAGCAATAACACGAGCACGTTGGTGGCAGGGGCGCGGCGCGCCAGACGCACGGCGCGTGCATGATTTGGGCAGGCAGGCTCGGGCCCCGCGTGAGGGGTGCCGCGGGCGCTGGCACCGAAGAGTATCGTGTCGGATCTGCGGTCCCCTAGGTTTCCAACGACGATGTGGTGGGGAGTGGCCAAGACAGGGGGTGATGGTGGGGGGGGAGTGGGGATCATGATTGGAGTCTATGATCTCTCCCCAGACTGCATATGGCGCCTCTTCTTCTCCTGCTTCGTCTTCTTCTTCTTCTTCTTCTTCTTTCAGTAGGTCCCGGCACCTCAGATCGCCGACGATGTGATTTTGAGCTGGCCTCTGGGTCCCTTGTGGAACATCATAAAATGTCGAGGTCTGCGCGGATTTCTCGGATCTGCGCTGGACCCCCTGGCGGCGCCTCCGGCGCCGCTCCTGGCGCGCTCCGCGCGCCAGGGAGCGGGGTCCAGCGCCGATCCAAGAAATCTGCGCGGACCTCCAAGATTGTCTCGAAGACGCCTACGGCGAATTCCCGCTGCCCTTTATTTTTTGGCATCGCCCATATGGCCGAGCGTTGTGGCAAGAGCTCTGTCAAGCTATCGGACCATTTGTTTCCCCAGCCGTTCGGGGAAACCCTTCGGGGAACACTTGGGGGAGGATGGCGGGGAAGATCAGGAGGAGGAGGAGGTGGAGGAGAAGATGGAGGAGGAGGAAGAGGAGGAGGAGGAGGAGGAGGAGGAGGAGGAGGAGGAGGAGGAGGAGGAGGAGGAGGAGGAGGGGGCAGCTTGGGAGCCTCTGGGGGCACTCTTGGGGCCTCCTTGGAGCTTCCAGGGAGCCTTTTGGAGGTGTCTTGGGGGTCTCCTTGAGCCTCTTGAGGGCCTTTGGGGGCTTCTCGAGGGCCTCTTGGGGGCCGTCTTGGTGCATTCCTGGCCCGTCTGACACCGTCGGAAGCCGTCTTGGAGGGCTCTTTGTGCCGACTTTGGGCACCCCTTGGAGGCCATCTTGGCCGTCTTGGAGGCCATCTTGGGTGTCTTGGAAGCCTCTTGGGCGCTCTTGGGGCCGTCTTGGGGGCCTCTTGAGCCGTTCTGGGGCCATCTTGGAGGCCTCTTGGGCGAACTTGGGGCCCTCTTGGGGCCGTCTTGGGGCCGTCTTGGGGGCCTCTTGAGCCGTTCTGGTGCCATCTTGGAGGCCTCTTGGACGATCTTGGGGCGATCTTGGGGGGCTCTTGGGCCGTCTCGGGCCGTCAGAAGGCCGAAAATATTCAACTGTTGAAATCCTTCAGAAACCAAAGGCACATCAATGATTTTGGCCTCGCCGTGCCTTTCTGGAGGTCCTCTTGGAGGCCTCTTGGGCCGTCTTGGAGATCTCTTGGGGGCCTCTTGGGCCGTCTAGGGCCATCTTGGAGCCATCTTGGCCGAATTGGTGGCCTCTTGGGCGGACTTGGAGGCATCTCGGACCCTCTTGGGCCTTCTTGTAGGGCATCTTGAAACATCTTGGGCGCACTTGGAGTCCATCTTGGCCGTCTTGATGGCCATCTTGGGCCATCTTGGCCGTCTTGGAGGCGATTTGGGCAAGGCGGGAGATTTTTCGGCGGCCTTCTGGGTGGCCGGCGGCCGAAGCCGCAAAGGGAGTTCTCAACGAACCAGAAACCTCCAAGCATCTAGCACGCCAGGAACCCCTGTGGCAGGGGGCAGCGGATAGAAGACGCCTACGGCGAATCACTGCCGCCCCCTGCCTTTTAGAATCGCCAATGTGGCCGAGCGTTGTGGCAAGAGCTCAGCCAAGCTCGGGGACCTCTTGGGGGCCGTCTTAGGGCATTCCTGGCCCGTCGGAAGCCGTCTTGGGGGCCTCTTTGGGCCGACCTGGGGCACCCCTCGGAGGCCATCTTGGGCGTCTTCGAGGCATCTTGGGGTCCGGGGCCCTCTTGGGCCGTTCTGGGGTCATCTTGGAAGGCGGGCGATCTTGGGGCGATCTTTGGGGGCTCTTGGGTCGTCCTGGGCCGTCGGAGGACCGAAGAGAAGCAACTGCCCAGATCCTCCAAGAACCTGGAGCAAGTCGATGATTTTGGCTTCTTCGGGCCTTCCAGGATGCCCTCTTGGGGACCTCTGGGGCCGTCTTAGGGACCTCTTTTGGGCCTCTTGTTGTGCCGTCTTGGGCCATCTTGGAGGCGTCTTGGGCCGTTTGGGGGCCATGTTTTGAGCGCTTTGGGAGCGAGCGGGCGACTCGGCGCCCTCTTGGATCGTCTTGGGGGGCCTCTTGGGGCCCCCTTGGCCCCTCTTGGGGCCCTCTTCCCGGAGCCCAGGGGGGCACTCGGGAAGCCCCAGGGGGCACGCGGGAAGCCCCCGGAGATTTTGAATTCAGGGCCCGGGCCCCATAAAGGCTCCTCAGGAGAAGAGAGGATAGAGGCTTCGAGGATTGGGCGCAGGACCTGAGGACACGCCCACTCTGTGCCCAGCGGCATGGTGGCGGATGGATGTTTATGTAATTTGTTGTTCCTCCAATCCTGTCATCGGGCCCCGAGACCATCAAACGCGGACCCAGGACGCAACATTTCCCCTGGAAGCGGTCGGGACCTCTGGGGCCGCGGATTGAAGAAATAGGATCGGCGGGTGTCAGGGACTCCTGCCAGCCTCGACAGTGTGAGTAGGCAGGTCCCGGGCCCTCGCCGAGCAGCCTTGCTTTTTTGCCTCGACGGCTGCATGCTGCACGCACGGCACTGCCACGGGGGGGCCCCGGTTGCCAGGATCGGCGGCCGGCCCCCCGGGGGGAAGCAAGAGTGAGGAGGCCTTCTCAGACGGTTCGGAAGTCCCCGGGCCTCCTGCGAAGTTTGCGGAGCCTTCGCCGAAGACGCAGAACGCCTCCCAGAAGGCCGCCGGGCTTCGGAGAAGCCCCGCCGCCCTCGGCCTTCTCTGTCTCGCTTCCCCCCCTCGCTCGCCGCCCAAGCCGGGGTCGAAGTGGATGGGGTCGGAGGATCGCGTCCCACTGCCGATGCATCGGCCAGACGGCGCGAGGTGGAGTCTGATTTTCTCCGAGCCGACTGTGTTCGGCACGTGTGGACCAGGGCGTAAACCTGGACCATCTTTGCGAATCCCCCCCGCCCGGTGGGCGCAGGAGACTGTCGGGCATCTTCTTTTCCGCCGGAGGAGACGCTGGAGGAGAAGCGGCAGCAGTGGAACGAGGAAGAGGAGCGTGACGAGGAGCAAGGGGAGGGAGGATGAGGAAGAAGCCGAAGACGATGACGAGGAGGGAGTGGTGATGTGCGCAGGAGGAGCAGGAACAGGCAGGAGAGGCATGAACACGAATACGTATGACGATTCCGATGGTGAGGGTGATGATGATTGTGGTGCTGGTGATTATGATGGGGCTGGCGATGATGGGGATAGTGACGATGATTGCTGTGGTTGTGATAATGGTGGTGGTGGTGGTGGTGGTGGTGGTTGTGATGGATGTTGGGATGCTAATGCTGTGGTTGATGCTTCTGGGGATGCTTGCCAGGAGTCTGATGGCGATGGTGATGATGCGGATGATGGTGGTTGCCTTTATGATGATTGTGATGGTGATGGGCAGGTTGATGCTGCTTATGAAGTGGGCATGGTGATGGTGGTGATGTTGATGTTGATGATGGTTCCGATAACGAATAATATTGCGGTGGTATCATGATAAGCATGATGATGCTGATGATGATGACGATGATGCGCACCAGGATGATGAAACTGATGCTGCTGATGATGATGGGTTATTGATGATGATGAGGATGATGATGTTCATGACGATGATGATACTGTTGCTGGTGATGTTGATGATGCTGCTGATGGTGATGACTCTGATGACGAGGATGCTGCTGCTTGCTGCTGCTGCTCATGATATTGCTGATGCTGCTGCTGCTGATTATGATGATGCTGATGATGGTGATGCTGACGATGCTGCTGATGATGCTGGTGCTGCTGATGAGGTCGATGAATCTTCTGATGATGACGGCGATTATTATGATAATGATGAGGAGGTGGATGATGAGGAGGAGGATGCTGATCATGAGGCGGATGGCGATATGGATGGCACTGATGATGCTGCTGATAATGATGGTCATGATTCTGATGACGATACTGATAATGCTGATGATGATGATGGTCATGACGATGACGACGACGACGATGCTGATGATGACGATGATAATGATGATGCTGCTGCTGATGATGATGACGATGCTAATGATGCGGGGGATGATGACGATGATCAGGATACTGCTAATGATTATGCCGATGATGGTGATGACGACGATAATGATGATGGTGACGATGGTCATGATGCTGCTGCTGATGATTATGAGGATGACGATGCTGCTGCTGCTGCTGCTAATGATGATGATACTGCTGATGGTGCTGATGATGCTGATGATGATGATGATGGTGATGATGACGATGATGATGATGATGTTGATGATGATGATGATGCTGAGGATACTGCTGCTGATGATGGTGGTGATGATGCTGATGATGCTGATGATGACGACGATGATGCTGATGATGGTGATGGTTATCATTTGGACGAGTAGGAACAGCTGGGGGAGGGGGACCGGAAGTCTTTCCCCCATCTGGAGCCAGAGCCCCTGCTGGCGCAGGCAGCCCGCTCGGCGGATAAGCGCCGACGATGCTCCACGGTGGCAGCGCGGAGTCAGGACCGCGGCGTCTCTTGCCTTTTGCTGCCCTTACCCTTTGGCGTCATTTGTATCGCTCATTGATTGGCGAGGAAGAGGAGGACGAGAAGGAGGAGGAGGAGGATGAGGAGGAGGAGGAGGAGAATGAGGAGAAGGAGGAGGATGAGGATGGGGGGAGGAGGAGGAGGAGGAGGAGGAGGAGGAGGAGGAGGAGGAGGAGGAGGAGGAGGTGGAGGAGGAGGAGGAGGAGGAGGAGGAGGAGGCCGAGGAGGAGGAGGAGGAGGAGGCCCTCACTTTGCATCCCAGACGTTGCGGGCGCATTGCCATTTTCACAGTAAGTTGCGTGTAGTACGTCTCGGGGGGGCCCCGGTCCCAAACCCGCTTAGTCCTCTCGTGTGGGCTCTTGCACGCGGGCTCTGCCATACTTCAAACGCCTCGATGGAACATCAGGACTCAGGCTGGCTATGTCATGCTTATCGGCGTTTCGAGGCGACTTCTCAGCAGAGGGGCCATCCAGAAACGATTCGAGACGAACCTACGGTCTCTACAAAAGCGTCGGTACTTCTACAAGCATGGCGTCGGATGTCTAGGACAAGGAGCGATGTGGAGGAGACACGAAACCGACGACGAGGGAGGTGGCAGATGATGAGGAGAGGGAGGAGGAGGCAGAGGAGCAGGATGATGTGGATGATGATGCTGATGATGATGATGGCGATGACGATGACGATGATGATGCTGATGATGATGTGTTGATGATGATGATGATGATGATGATGATGATGATGATGCTAGTGGAGATGTTGATGCTGCTGCTGATGATGATGCTGATGCTTATGATGACGATGCTGCTGTTGCTCATGCTGATGATGCTGACTACGATGAGCATGCTGATGATAATGATGATGATGATGGTGATGATGATGATGATGATGATGATGATGATTATGATGCTGCTGATGATGATGATGATGATGATGATGCCGATGATGATAATGCTGCTGATCATGATCATGCTGCTACTTGAGATGATGAAGATGACGATGATGATGGTGACGATAAACATGGTGATCCTGAGGATGCTGATGGGGATGCTGATAATACTGCTGTCGATGCTGATGCTGTCGATGATACTGATGCTGACGATGCTGATGTTGCTGTTGATGATGATGCTGATGCTGCTGCTGATGATGATGATGATGCTCGTGAGTACGCTGATGACGATGATGCTGATGATGCTGATAATGATGATGCTGAAGTTGTTGATGATGACGATGCTGATGATGATGACGCTGATTATGATGAGGATGATGATGATGTATGATGTGTATGATGATGATGATGCTGATGATGATGATGATGATGATGACGATGATGATGATGATGATGATTATGATGATGATGATGATGATGATGGTGATGATGATGATGATGATGATGATGATGATGATGATGATGATGATGTATGATGTATGATGTGTATGATGATGATGATGATGATGAGGAGGAGGAGGAGGAGGAGGAGGAGGAGGAGGAGGAGGAGGAGGAGAACGAGGGGGAGGGGCAGGGGGAGGAGGAGGAGGAGGAGGACACTTTTTTTGATCGTTTGACCCGACACAGAGGTCGTGCAGGGGAGGGGGGGGGAGGCCACCGACGGACCCGCAAAGCAAACACGCATGGCATCCACCTACGGCTGAGCCGCAAGAGAGGCCCCGACGGGCAACGGAGCAGCTCCTTCGGCAGGGGGAGTGGTCGAGCGAGTCAGGGGGCACCGCCTATTCCCATCCTCCCTCCCACTGCGTAAGAATCAAGCCTGGCACACTTTTTGGGATTGGAGCACGTCCCCACCTCGCAAACACAAGGCGCTCGCGCGCGGCCCCGCTTCCGACGACGACTCGGCGAGAGGACAACTGCACGGGCCGCGCATGGGTGGGAGCGGCAACACTTCTGATGGGCGCGGCGAATGCGACGCGAAGACACCGCACTGCCACTTTCACTCACACAGTGTGCGGCGCTTGGGCGAGGTCGGCATTCCACCCGCTCTCGCGCGGCCCCTCTGCCGCTGCGGCTTCCATGCGATTCTGCGTCGCGCCCAGCGCGGGAACGCAAGTTCCGAGTAAAATGCGCATGGAGGTTGGGCGAGGGCGACAAGTCCGCCTTTCGCGCGGCCCCCCCGTTAATTAGCGAGTGAAGAAATGTACCGCGTCGAGGCGGGCGCCACTCTCAGGCGAAATCTGCGCGGCGACGATGCGAGAGCGTCATTTTCGTGCGCTTACACGTCAACGGACTCTCGTGCGTGTGTGCGCTGCGCCCAAGCGGGAACCCAATTCTCTCTAGAAATGAGCGCGTCGCCAGACGAGGGCGACACTTCGGCCTTTCGCGCGGACGCATTTTGCAACATAGCCGATGTCCACGCTGAGAAGAACATCTATGACAGTGTATGTTTTCCCCATGTGGGATTGAGGGTCCCGGATGGCGGGGCTATCGGCCGGCTGTGGGACAGAGTAGGAGCGCGCGAGCCTCTGCTCGCGGTAGACGGCGGCAGAGACATGCAGGCATTCAGTGTCATGTTCTATGTAATCTTCTCCCGCAACACATCTGCAGAAACAGCGTTGGAAACGGCGGTGCGTAGCCCAGCCGTTCCGAACGGTCCTGATGCAGGCGGTAAGCGCAGCGCCCGTTGGGGGCACAGCCGGGCGACCTTCCCTGTTACTGCGGGGAATGCCACCTTGAAAACCGCGCGCCTCATTCCCAACCATCCTGTGGTGTTGGGTCCTCGTTATGAAGAGACGGTCCCCGCGTTCTCCTCTCCTCTCCTCTCCTCCTCCCCCTCTTCCTCCCTCCTCCCCCTCATCCCGGCGTTTCACCCACCCAGTACAGCGTTTCGTAGCCCCAGGGGGAGCTCCACCGAAGGCCATGCGTCCCCCCCACTCATTACAGCGCTTCGTAGCCCCATAGGGAGCTCCACCGAAGGCCCTAGTGCCACCGTCCACATGCGTCCCCCCCGTTCAGTACAGCGCTTCGTGGCCCCATGGGAAACTCCACCGAAGGCCCCAGTGCCACTGTCCACAGAGGGGGGTTCCCCCCCACTGCAGTTACAGCGCTTCGTGGCCCAGAGCGCGGACGCTCCACCGAAGGCCCCAATGCCACCGTCGCCACATGACCGTCCCAACACTCAGTGCCCAGGCGTTTCGTGGCCCCACAGGGAGCTCACCGAACAAAGCCCCCCAGTGGGGACCGTCCACATGCGTCCCCCCCAACTCAGTTACAGCGCTTCGTGGCCCCTAGGGCGCCACCGAAGGCCCCAGTGCCACCGTCCACATGCGTCCCCCCCACTCAGACAGACTTTTGTGACCCGTCGGGAGCTCCACCGAGGGCCCACAGTGCCCACCGTACACATGCGTCCCCCCACTCAGTTACAAGCGTTTTCGTGGCCCCTAGGGAGCTCCACCGAATTTTGGCCCCAGTGCCACCTCCACATGCGTCCACCCCCCACTCAGTACAGCGTTTCGTGGCCCCATAGGGAGCCCCACCGAGGGTCACAGTGCTACCGTCCACAGGCGTCCCCCCCACTCAGTACAGCGTTTCGTGGCCCCACAGGGAGCTCCACCGAAGCCCCCAGTGGGACCGTCCGAGTGCGTCCTGAAACACCAAATTTGGCATTTTCGCCCACCCATTACAACGTTTCGTGGCCCCACAGGGAGCTCCGCCGAAGGGCCCAGTGCCACCGTCCGCATGCGTCCCGCACACCCAGGGTGGCATTTTCACACACCCAGTGCAGCGTGTCGTGGCCCCACAGGGAGCTCCACCGAAGGCCCCAGTGGGACCGTCCGTCAGCGTCCCGAAACACTCATTGTGGCATTTTCAGCCACCCAGTCCACAATTTCGTGGCCCCGTAGGGAACTCCACCGAAGGCCCCAGTGCCACCGTCCGCATGCGTCCCGAAAACCCAACGTGGCATTTTTACCCACCCAATACAGCGTTTCGTGGCCCCTTAGCGAGCTCCACCGAAGCCCCCAGTGGGACCGTCCGCATGCGTCCCCGAAGCCCAATTGGGCATTTTCTCCCACCCAGTACAGCGTTTCGTGGCCCCATACGGAGTTCCACCGAAGCCTCCAGTGGGACCGTCCGCATGCGTCCCGGAAACCAAATTTGGCATTTTCACTTGCCCAGTACAGCCTTTTCGTGGCCCCGTACGGAGCTCCACCGAAGCCCCTAGTGGGACCGTCCGCATGCGTCCCGGAAACCTTACTTGACACACCACTCACCCAGAACAGCGTTCCCCCCCACCCAGTGCAGCGCCTCGTGGCCCCATAAGGAGTTTCACCGAAGAAGATTTTCACAATTGCGGTACCCACAACTGCATATGGTTGGGCTTTTCGCCTGGATAATTTTCATGCAATTCAGGCGAGAGCCTCCTTTGCACATGAACAGCCATCCGTGCTTCTACGTAGCCATAAGGGCAGTGGCGAGGTAGGATCAGAAAGTCCAAGGAAGTGTCCCGCAATAGCCCCGTTTCGAAAAAGAACCGCCTTCAATCCGTGCAGTAGTTACTGTGCAATCTTACACTTCTGGACACACAGCCTGAGGAAATATCAGGCGAGAGCTCCGTGTCGAAAAGAACCGCGCTTCATCCGTGTATCTTTTGCGCAACGTGAGATTGTAGAGGCCCTACGGCCTTTTCCGTCGACCGACCCCGAAGGGGGGTCGCGAGTCAAGAGGCTACGGGAGGGTCGCGAGGGATCCGAGGAGCGCACGAAGGAAGGCCGTTGATCATCACAGAACGGCTTGAAGAGCACCTCGAGATTTGAGAAGGGACAGAACACCGTGCGTGGGTCGTGAGCAAGGGTGCTCTTCGAGGCGTCTTGGGGGGGATGCCTCTCGGGGGCTTATCGGAGACATTTTGAAGCCTCTTGGGGGCGTCTTGGCGGTCTCACCTCTTGGGGACTTCTTGGGGCCTGCGTGGGGGCGGCTGGAGGTCCTTGTGAGGCACCATCGCCACTTAGAACCGCCTTGGGGCTCTCGTGGAACCTCTTGAACGCATTCTGGTGGCCATCTGGAGCCAACTTGGGCCATGTGGCGCGATTTGAACACGACTGGGATGGCGCGATCTTGGAGACGCCAAAGAGCTCTAAGATCCTTGAAATCAGTTGGAAGCGGGGGGTTTGTGGGTGGGAGGGGGGCCACGCACACCTTGGGCCCCTCCGCCCGTCGGGGAAGGGATCTAAGGGGCTTCCCCTGAACTCGATCACGACGTTGCTTGACTTTCCGTGGGTGGACGCGCATGGAGACGCCCCCATAGTAGGCGACTTTTTTGGGACTGACGAGCACGGGGACGTCCCCAAGGTATCCCTAGGGATAAGGGAAGAGAGCTTGTAATCCGCACTGGAGCTGGATGGTAGGCCGTCGTCTTCTCACTCACGGCGACAAGGTCGGTGGACTTCTGCTCACAATCATTAGTAAAGTCGCCAAATAGTGGCGGCTTGCTTTGATGAGAAACAGCCCTCCATCCGAATAGATGTTGGAAGCTTGTGAGACGAACGTGCCTAGCGCAAACGCGAGAGCCACGTCTTGGCCCTCTCCTTCACCCGTGTATCTGCCTAGATTTTCAAGACGACTGTTCGGCGTTGAAGTGCAAGCCTCACTTTCAACGACCCCTCCACCCGCAGAACTGTTGAAACCTAGCGCTTTGGGATCGCGAACGGGGAGGAGGTCTCAGGCGAAACGTCCGGCCCGCCCTACCAACACGTCTGGTGGTCAGTCGAGAAGAGCTGTTTGTTTGGGAGGGGGGGAGGAGGGCGGGGGAGGAGGTGGGAGGGATGGAGGGAGGGAAGGAGGGACGAAGGAGGGTGGAGAGAGAGGGATGGAGAGAGGGATGGAAGGGGGAGGACGGATGAAGGGAGGGCGGGAGGGTCGAGGGGAGAGAGGGAGTGGGGGACGGATGGGCGAGGGAGGAGGCAGGGAGCGACGGAGCGAGGGAGCGGGAGCGGGAGAGGGCCTCGAATGCCGAGGGGCCTCCAGAGGGTGGCGCCCGCGCGCGCAGAGGCGACTCTCTCGCCGCTCGGGGGCCAGGGCCGCGGCCCGGCCGAGGTCGGCCGCGGCGTGTTCAGGCGCGGGTCCTCGGGGCAGTGGGGTGGGGTGGGGGTGGGGGCGGGGAGGGGTAGGCAGAAGTAATAGCAGTAGTAGAGGTAGTAGTAGTAGTAGTAG